CGCGAGCGATGCCGAGCCGGAGTCGCCCCTTCGCCCGCCTCTAACCGGGAGGAGAGCCCGCCCTCCTCCGGCCACCCGCCAATCGGAGGCCATGGTGCAGGAGAAGCAGCCACTTGGCCAGTGGCGAGGCGAGCCGCCCTCCTCGCGGAGCAAGATCGGCAGGGCAAGGGACCAATGGCGCGGCAGAACTCGTCTCCGCCTGCCGGGCGGGAACTTCCCGTTTCTGCAGGTCGGGAGCGGAAGTGGAGGCCGGCTCGGAGCGGGAGCGTCGCCTTGCAGTTCCCTCGCGCGTCCGACGCCCCCTACCACGTGACCGTCCAAGATGGCTGCCCCAGAGGATGCCGGCCGGTTCCAGGAGGTGGCCCGGGAGGGAGGCGGAGCGGAGCCGGAGCCGGAGCGGGAGGCGGCCCCCTCGGGGGACCTGCGCAGCGTCCTGGTCACCAGCGTCCTGAACCTGGAGCCGTTGGACTTGGACCTCTTCCGGTCAGCGGGGGAGGGAGGGAGGGAGCCGTGGCCCTGGCCGTGCAGGCGGGAGTCCGGCAGGGGCAGCGTCACCTCGGCAGCTGCGGTGCGGTGGAGGGTAGGGGTAGGAGGGATCGCTGAACCTGTTGGGCTTCTGCCTGCCCGGCAGCTGCAGGGACTCTGGCCTCTCGGCTTTGGCCAGCGCGGGACCCCGGGGCTGGAGCGGGGCTGCCTGCCTGCCTTCCCTCTCTCCTGGCTGGCCTGACTCCTCTCTCTCTCTCTCTCCCCTACCGCCTGCCTCCCTCCCATCATCTCCTCCTTCCTTCCTGCAGCGGGAGGCACTACTGGGTGCCCGTCACGCGGCGCCTCTTCGGGGGTCAGATCGTGGGCCAGGCGCTGGTGGCCGCCGCGAAGGCCGTCAGCGAGGACGCCCAGGTCCACTCTTTGCACTGCTACTTTGTCAGGGCAGGTAAGAGGCCTCCTCTGGGAGCGGGACCTAGGGAAGTGCCACCAGAAGGGGAGCCCTGGGGAGTGCCCTTCCCTCCCTCCAGGTCTTGAGGCTGCCCAGTGTTGGCACCCGCTGTCTCTGCCTGGGAGCAACCCAAGCCCCAAGGAAGTTCTCAGGGAGGGAGGCGGTGGGAGCTGGTGGTGGCCTTGTGGATCCCAGCCCTGGAAAGCCCAGGGAGGCTGCTCATGGTCACAGGGATCTCCTTTCCCATGGTTAGGAGGGCTGGCCGCTGCCCCATGGCACCTTCTGCCGCCCCCCCCTCCCCCGGTCTATAGTGGCCCAATTGTTTCCTTGCTCAGGCTGTCTCTTGCCTCAGTCTCCTTTGGTGTTTCCATGCCTTCCCAGCAGGATCCCCTTGCTGGCTGTTTATCCAAAAGCTTGTGCCGGGGAAAGTGGCTTTTCATGGGTCCACTCCTTGGCCCTGGGGGTCAGGTGGGCAAGTTTAGAATTTAGGTTTAGGTTTTTCTTTCTGCAGTTGAAAGCTTAGGAGCCAAAGTGTGGTTTACATAATTATGTTGCCAACTGCCCAGAGAGTGCTTTAGCAACACTCAAAACAGCAACAGCTTCAGAAAGTGGAGATGACCACAGTCAGGATGAGGTTGAGAGCATCCAGTCCAGAACCTTTGTCCTGATGGTATCCCAGGAGAGCAGGCTGCCCTGTCAGGGCAAAGGTTGCTGTCCAGCCACCCCTTCCGGGGGCTGCTGCTGAGCTGACATCACCAAAGCCTTTGTTCTGTACCAGATGTTGGCATGGACTGGCAATGGCATGTTCATTTGGGTGCCCCCCCCCCCGGTGCTGCGTTTCACGTCTGGGATGGGTGTGAGAACGGAGATGCAGCAGAAACCCCAAGAAGCCTTGTGAAGCCTTGGCGTGGGCTTCTGTGGACTGTAGCCTGCTCCCTCAGACATGTTTTGTGGCAGGAACTGAGAGTGAGGACTACCTGTGCAGCAGGTGTAGCTCTCCACTCCTCCTGCTGAGCTTCCTTGGCAGGGTCAGCCCGTGTGCTCACCCACAGGTGCTTCCTGATTCTAGGAGATCCCACGGTGCCCGTGCTGTACCAGGTGGAGCGCACCCGCACTGGCAGGAGCTTCTCGGTGCGGTCAGTCAAGGCCATCCAACATGGGAAGCCCATCCTCACCTGCCAGGCCTCCTTCCAGCAGGTGCAGCACAGCCCCGTGGAGCACCAGTTCCACATGCCTGATGTGCCCCTTCCAGAGGAGCTGCTGACCCAGGAGGAACTCATCCACAAGTATCTACAGTGAGTGGCAAAAGCAGAGAGGTGGGTCAGGGCTCTCTCTCCCTCCCAGCACTCTGGGGAATAGCACACTCCGCCACCTGCCACAGACACACACGCACACACACGGCTTCCCCTGGGGGTGGGCAAGGCAATTGCTAGTTTAGACTTTGGTGCCTCCATTTTATTTATTAAAAAATATTCCTAATCTGCCTTTCTCCTTAAAAGGACCCACAGTGGCTCATATCATTAAAAAGACAATGTTTAAATGGGAAAAGTAGTAAGTATATAAATATTTAAAAAGAAGTACATAAGTATTTTATTAAAAATGGTAATTAAAACAATACTAAAAGGAAATTTAAAAGATCAGAGCATGACAAATCCATTCAAAAAAACCCTTTTAAGAGAGTCAGTCACTAGGGAAAAGCCTGCTTGAAGAGCAAGGTCTTTGCTTGACGAAGGAGAAGCAAAAATGAGGCCAGCCTGAGTCTGGGAGCAGCGACAGAAGGCCTTCTCCTTGGGGACCAAGAGAAAGGCCTCCCCTGCTGATCTTCATGCCCAGGCAGGCTCATAGAGGGAGATGCGGTCCTTGGGAGAGCTTGGACACAAGCTACTGCTGCCTTTGCTGCTCCTGGCTGGCCAGGGACCCTCCCACCACTTGAGCAGAAAAGATTGTTTGGCCTCTCCCATCCAAGAAGGTGGGGCTGGGGAGGAGGCCTCCCTGGTGTTCCTGAAGATCACAGGAACTCTGGAGCTGGAAATTGACAGGTGCAGCAGGTCTGCACTTGCTTCCAGAGCCAAACTCACCTGCGATTCATCTGCACCTGTGGCACTCTTGAGCAAAGCAAGTGGTCATCCAGGCCTCCAGAGGCTCCACCTGGCAGTGCAGGATCACAGGTCTCACAGGATCACAGGTCTCTCTTTCTCTCTCTCTCTCTCCCTGGAAGAGTTCCTGCTAGCTTCTGTTAACAAGTCAGAGGAAGTCACCTGCAGCTGCCAGGAACACACACACAGACACACCTGCCACCCACCTCCCACTCCTTTGTTCAGTCACGAAGCTGTCTGATTATTCTTGGATAGTATTGCTACCTTGAGTCCTCACTAGTAAAGCCAATGGCCAGGGATGACGGGAGATGCAGCAAAACAGCTGGAAAAGAAACGGGCAGTAGCTGTGGCACCTTTCTTGTATCTCTTTCCAGCCACCTGATCCTTGTGTCTTTTTCCAAAGGGACCCCAACCTCCTGGAGAGGTACCGGCAGGGACTCAACAAGATTCTGGCACAGGAAGTTCCTGTTGAGATGAAGCCTGTGAACCCTCCCGACTTCTTCCACCAGAGCCCACAGGAACCCAAACGGCTCTTCTGGGTGCGGGCCAAAGGCCACATTGGTAAAAGCATGGACTCTGGCTGACCCTTTATTCTCTCCCTAAATGCACCTGAGATTTGTCACAGTTTCAGATCTTAAAGTCTGGGGCCAAGACAAGGCCTCTGTACCTGAAATCTTGCCTAATCTCAGAAACAAGGGCAGGATTTGGCCTGCCGAGTCCGTGAATGGGAGGGCACCGGGTGATGCCTAGGGTCGCCAGTTGTTTCAGCCCATTGGCACCAACACTCCCGGCCCAGAGGAACCGCCTCCGTTGCTCCTTTCCTACGAGCCGGCATTCCCTTCATTTGTCTGTTGGGACTCCACCTTGTCTCCCCGCCCTGCCAAAGCCCTTTTTCGGCCACAGAAGGGAATAAGGGAATGACACGAGCCAAGCTGAGCGGGTGCTTCAGCTGAGAAGCAAAGAGCCCTTTCTCTGCTTCAGCAGCAGCTGCGCAGCCCACAGGCTGGCAGCCTGCTTCACACCTCATTTGGGCCATGCGCCCCTTCTGTACATTTGCAGCAGGGGTCTCCAGGAAAGACAGGCCTTGGTCTGTCAGATCTTTGGCCCGGCAGAGGTTTGCTTTGTGCATTGGATCACATCCCCCTTCAGGCCCTGCTTTTTCCTGCAGACTGTGTGAGCCTGGGTCTCAGAAGGAGGAATCTGTGTTGCAGGTGAAGGAGACATGAAGCTGCACTGTTGCGTCGCCGCTTACATCTCTGACTACGCCTTCCTGCAGACAGCCCTGCTGCCCCACCAGCGCTACCGAGTCAGTTTCATGGTCTCCCTGGACCATTCCATGTGGTTCCACGCCCCGTTCCGAGCCGACCACTGGATGCTCTACGAGTGCGAGAGTCCCTGGGCAGGTAGGTGCCCTGGCGTGCCATGCGGCGTGTGTGAGAGGCTCCAGGGCGAGGAGCACCTTCTAAGAGGAAAGCTGTGCCTGACCCCTCACCCTCCCCTCAATCTCTCTCCCCTCCAGGTGGGTGCCGTGGGCTTGTGCATGGCCGGCTGTGGCGCAGGGATGGCGTGCTGGCGGTCAGCTGTGCCCAGGAGGGTGTCATCAGAGTGAAGGACCCTCCTAGCCTGAGCAGGTTGTAGCGAACCCTTCTCCTTCCCATCACGGCTGTGCCAGGCCGAGGCCGTGGTCTCTGATGCTGGGCATTGAAGCCACCGGGCAGGCGCAGGTGTGGACGGAGACTCAAACAGAAGCACTTAATGGGATTGCTTTTATTGGATTATGGACTGGCCTGTGGCTGTCCCAACTGTGAATAAAGCGACTGAGGCCCTTTCGAGGCTGTGCTCTCTCGATGGTGGTAGTGGTGGAGAGATACCCCAGGGTTTTTTCACTTACCCATGGTTGAGCTCCTCTCCCTGGAACTGAAGAAGGGAGCAGCCCCCTCGCTCGGCGTTCCTAGGTGAGCCTTTGGCCCAGGAGCAGTGCCTGCTCTCTCCCTTTGCGCCTCTACCCCCCCCATTTCACTTTGCAGGAGTTCGAGATAGGGGCAGGGGGCTCAGGGGTCCTGCTCTGAGAAGGGAAGGGGGACCCACTGGGCCCCTGCCTCGCAGGGAATCCCATCTGGGAGGGTCAGTCCTAGGTGTCCGGGGTGGTAGCCCCGTTTTCCAAGTCACATTTCAAGTCCTCATATAAGGCCGTGCCAGATGCTGAGGAGCATCTGGGTCATGTGCTCATTTGGAAACCTCCCCAGTGAAATCCTGGCGGCTGTTCCTCTCCAGGGCACGGGTTCAATCTAGACAGAGGAGCGCACCTCCATAAAAGAGCACCAGCTGCTCCAGATAGATGGGGTGTGCTCTTTGCGCTCGGCGTCCATCCCTTCTTCATCCACGCAACAGTTTCCGGCTCTATCCTGGCTCTGAGGCTCAGCTGGCCACCCTCCTAGCCTCCCCGGCATACACACGCACTCGGAAACCCAAATCCCGCCCCCCCGCCCCACTCAGGGCAATGGTTGTTTGATAAGCAGTTCCTTCAGGGTGGGGGGCTGCAGCCCCCCTCCACCGGCATCCTGCAGGCCTTGCAGCCGGGCCTCCGCCTGCCGCTTGTCCCGGCCCAGCACCCAGGACAGGTGGATGTACGTCTGCAAGAAGGGGGCGACCAGCGGGTGGCGGTCCTGGCCCTCCAGAAGCTGCAGCGCTCGCTCGCAAGAGGCATGGGCCTCGGCAAACTGCTCCAGCTCCTGCTGGCAGACTGCCAGCCCGGCCAGCGTCACCAAGAAGTGGCCCGAATGGCAGACGCCCAGCTTGTCCTGCAGCTGGTGGGCGTTGGTCCAGGCGGCCAGGGCCTCACGGTAGAGGCCGCTGCAGGTCGCGCGCTGGGCCTCCCGCAGGTCCCCCAGGAAGAAGAACTCCAGGTAGGTGGCCGAGCGGCGGATCTCCGGCAAGGAGTGCAGGTGGGCGAGGAACTGCTCAAAGGCCCGGCTGCGCTTGGCGATGGTCTCAGCGGCGAAGTTGCGACGCAGCCGCTTCCGAGGGAAGGAGATGCCTGCCATGTCGCTGCCAAACTGGCGGCGCAGGTGCCGGTTCAGCCGCTCAAAGTCAGAATAGCGCCGGGCAATGGTGGCAGGAGCTTTGTCAAACTGACCCGTCCGGATCAAGTAGATGGTGTAGAGCTGCAGGTCAAACGGACTGGTGAGCAGAGCCGCCCCGAGCCGCCATCTCTTCCCCCCCCACACACACACACACAGCAGAGCCCAGGAACAAAGCAGCCAGGGAACCATGCAGTACCCGCTCCCTTGTGCACGCACACACATGTACTCGCTTGCATTCGGCAGGCAGCTTATTTCTCCCAGAGGGCAAGCGGGGGGGTTGGGGGGGAGGCACAGAAGCAGCAGAGGCAATGGCAGTGGCAGCTGCCCCACCGGAACTGCCGAGGGAGAATTACCTGAGGCTCTTCTGAGCCAGCAGTTCCCCCAGCGCAGCACAAGGAAAGAGAGAGACAAGAGTCAGGAGGGTCGCGCTTCGGAAGGAAGGCAAGGGAGGGGAGAAGGCGCTGCAGGTGGAGAACAACCGAGGGCAGAGAGGGCAGGCAAGAAAGGGGGCCAAGCCAGGCCAGGCTGCTTCGCGGGGGCTTCAGGCTGCCTGCCCAGGGCCTGGCAGGGACAGCCCCTTCTTCTTCTTCTTCTTCTTCCCACTTCCTCCTACAGTCCCACCCCCCACCCTATGAGATGTCGGCCTATCCCCACACCCCCTTTTTGGTGATCCACAGCTCAGTTCCTCCTTCACAGCCTTAGGGTCATTCCCCCCCCCGCCCCCGCCTCCATCACTCACCACGTACTTGGAGTTGCGTTCACTGACCACGTTTGCGCTGGTGACTTCGAAGAGGAGGCGCTGGGGCGCGAAGCTGCTCCGGGATTTCCGCCAGAGCTCCTGCAGCTGCCGGGTGAGCATGTTACTGCCTGGACGCTCAGTCGAGGGAGGGCCGTGCTCTGCACCCACGGGGAGGGGGGAGAAAGCAAGAGCAGGGGGTCAGAAGCTGGCTGGGGAAGCTGAGCAGGGCAGTAAAGGGCTTAACCTTTTAGGGCCTATAAAGCCAAGCCCTCTCGCGTTGCATAACAACCAGCCAGGGAGTGGCAAAAGCCAACATGCACTCGGTATTTCAGAACACACCTTGGAGCGAGCAAGTTGTGGGAACTGCCTGGCCCCCACCTGACGAGAATGCTGGTGCGTGGAGGGCTCCGGGTGCCCGTCCGGTATTTCTTGACCTGCTCAGGAGACGGGCCGTCCCTTCCCTGCCCACTGAACCGGGCGAGCGTCCTCATGACCTCTGCTGCTTTGTTTTAGGGTTCACAGGATAACGGCATGGGACTAACGGATTAATTTCCCCCCAGATTTGTCTTTAGGACTAACAGGTTCATTTCAGAATGTGCTTCTGGGGTTTGCCGTCCGATCCCTCCCTCAGAAAGGTGGCATTCAGTACTTAGGCCACAGGTTTATAGGTCCCATCTACCTGGTTGGCAGGGAAGAGGGAACCAGGGGAAATGAGAAGCCGAAGAGGGCGGGGGCCGCAACAGCAGCTTTGGCCCCTCCAACCCGTCTGCTTCAACAGCGTTTCTGTCCGTGTGACACGTGCCAGGACAGACTGAGCGGGTCGGTCACCTCTGGCAACGGCCGTCATGGCAAAAAGGGGGTAGGTCTCGGGGGACATAACATTGCACCCAGACACTGTGGCTTCTGAAAAAGCCCTGGCCATGGCAAAGGGCCAGGAGGCAGGTGCCGGTTAGGGTGGGAATCCGGCTGGATGGCTCTTTCACCGGCATTACATGTCAAAAATAAAATGTGTTTTATTTTAAAGGTACCCCCAAGACTCCTTGCTGTTTTCAAGCTGTGTGGCTTGTGCAGCAGAACAGGACTCACGGCGGGGGGGGGGAGGATGTGTGTGTGTCCCTCTCTAACCCTAACCCCTACATGAGGGTTAGATATGAATGGTTTCTAGTCAGAGTACAGTGGACCCTTGACTTACAGACGGCTTGACTTACAGACTTTTTGAGTTACAGACTTCTCTGGCTGCAAAATTTAGGTTTGACTTGCAGCCTGAGAATTGACTTACAGACCAGAAAAAAAACAAAATGGAACAAAAACGGCCTGTTACGGGATTAATCGGTTTTCAATGCACTGTAGGTCAATGGAGACTTGACCTACAGACTTTTTGACTTGAGAACCGCCTTCCAATACGGATTAAGTTCTCAAGTCAAGACCCCACTGTAGTTATTTGCCCGGCTGTCCTTCGGTGGCTAGGGCCCCACCCTTCAGGACCTGCCGCAATACAATCATATCGTACTGTACTGTACTTCGCATTCTTGTAAGGGAGCTGCCTTCTCACCTTCTAAAACTGGGGTCCCTGACAATTCTAGAGCTGTGACGGCACCCACATGGAAGCTTGGCTACTGAAGGCAGAGAAGCCTTTCCTAAGGAAGTGTGGGTGGCCCCGTCTCTCTCTCCTCCGCCGCCACCACTACCCCGCCCCGCGTCTTCCTACCTCCGTTCTCGGCAACACCACCAAGCCTGTTGGGGTCTAGGGGCCATTCCTGTGTGGCCTCGCCAGCATCCTCTTCCACTTCTTCTTCTTCTTCCTCCTCTTCCTCCTCCTCGTCATTGCTGGTGAAGCTCAGGGTCCCACTGAGCCGCGTGGAGAGACCCTCGGTGTCATCTTCCAGCTCAGAACTTTCTGGAAACTCCTCCGCTTCTGAGCTGCAGCCAGGCAGTCCATCCCGGTCACTTTCTCCGGTCAGTGCATGTCGTAGGCGGTGGAGGATGCGTGACGCCATTGGAGCACAGTTGGGGGGGGGGAGGAGGGAGGAATCCTGCTACCGAAGACGGAGGGCTCAGCAAGGCTGGCCGGCCGGCCTCTTCCCTGCCCTGCTGCAGGCAGGTGCCGCTCCACCCGAGCCCACCTTCACAGTGGTTTCCCCCCCTGCATTGCCATCAGAACTTCAGGGGCTGCTGGAGGCTGGCTGTGATGATGGCCAGCGTGCATTTGCAGATTCCTTCAGCCGCACTCGGAACCCTTCCCTAAAAGGCATGGAATCTAGAATTACTGTCTTCATAAAGAATGCATGCTTGAAAGAGAGGTCAGAGCAAAGAGGCTCGGCTGGAAGAAAAGGCCAGAAAAGGCAGCGCCCAGTTAAAGGGGTTGCCAACAACCAGCATCGAGGAAGCTTGTGGAGAAAAGAAGAATTCTCCAGAACCCAGAAGGCAAGAAGTACAAACTTCTGAAAAGGAAAAACAGGAAGCAGGCAATCAGGGGTGCCAAAAAAGGGGGGGATTCTGGGGAGCTCTGAAGTGGCTCAGTGGTTAAAGGGTAATTTTAAGAACCTGGGTTTGATTCTGAGGTTGGTAAACTGAGCACCAGCCGGCTGGGGTGGGGGTGGGGGAGGGAGCACTGCCAGGGAGCGCTGGGCTTTCGGGCCCCACCAGGCAGCCATGGAGATGGAGGCCTGGACGCACTTCTACCTGAGTGCCTGGGGGAGGGGGAAAGCCCCCCCCCCTTGTGGCTCCCCGTCTGGCCACTGCACCCATCCTGCCGCCCTCTTCGTCCTTCCCTGGGTGGGCTTCCTGGGGAGGCGCCTGGGGAGGGATCCAGCCTGGCTCCCCCTCGAAGGCGCCAAGGGGCAAGTGGTTGGGCCAGGACTGAAAGGCTGGGGGGCTGCGAGAGATTGCGGGAGGGGGGGTGTCTCGTCTCTCCGAGGTCCGCCTGCGATCCTAGAGATGGAAAAGCGGATCCCCCTTCGGGAGAGGCAGCGCCGGCGTCCGCCAGGCCCTTTCGCCTCCGGAGCAAGGAGTGGCCAGTTGTGGCCGGAGCGGGCTCGCCCCTTCCCTGGCCCTTTTTTCTCTAAGGCTGGGGGGCTGCGAGAGATTGCGGGAGGGGGGGTGTCTCGTCTCTCCGAGGTCCGCCTGCGATCCTAGAGATGGAAAAGCGGATCCCCCTTCGGGAGAGGCAGCGCCGGCGTCCGCCAGGCCCTTTCGCCTCCGGAGCAAGGAGTGGCCAGTTGTGGCCGGAGCGGGCTCGCCCCTTCCCTGGCCCTTTTTTCTCTTTCGTGGCTAGCAAGGCAAAGAGGCCTCTTCGGTGCCAACGCCCGCCCGCCCGTCCGCCCGCCGGCTGCGCATCAGCCCTTGGGAAGACGATGCCGCCCCTGCCCGCCCGCCTGGCAGAGCAGCCTCTGACCCCCCAGCCCCCCGTC